TTTTATTTATGCAAGAAATAATTCCAGTTTATCCGTTTTGAATAATCATCTGTATATACTGAGAGAAGTGGATATATTTTAGCTCAAATTTTTGACTTTTTTCAAAGGTTTCAAGCGAGCGAGCATTAGAAGTGTTCAGGATCAATGCTCTCTCTTAAGGGGCTGGATATTCCAGTCCGACATTACGGCGGTGCATTAGAAGATTAAAAGTAATGTCTGAACGCGTGTGCCACTGCTTAATTGATTCTCAGGCTCCTTCTAGACGAGGTGTCGCCATCGATCCGCTCTGCCAATTTCTTGATTGCAAATCCTGATGTCAAAGAATCCGGCCTAATGCCATAATCATACACTTGTGATGACAAGGGAGTTGTTTCTAATCAAACACTACAGGCTATGCCAGTGGTGATTTTTTTAAAGCAAAGCAATCAGTCTGTTTAAAGCAGGATGTCTGTCCCTTTTGTCTTTGAAATACTATTGCGCAATGGCAAAATCCCTTAAGATCACCGATGTCGCCTTCTCACATTGATTGATTTACTAATTGTTGTTTACACGCAGGATTAGTTTGCTTTTATCCCTCGAGAGTTGGTCCATATAAAGAATTAGTTTATCTTGGCTGACACTGCTTCTGCGAACAATTGCCCGAGGTGCAATCATTAAAGTAAGAAAGCCAACATGCGTTTTTATATTACTTCACTTTTCACTTCATTGATCCTCATTCACAGGAAGGAAAATATATTGCGTATTATTCTAGCCATCTTGTATCTCAGCTATAGCTGGATGCTTTAAGTTTAGCATTGCTAAATTGTGCTGTTTTCCATTCGTGATGCTGAGAAGTGGGTTAAGTTGGTATCGGTGTGGCAGTTTATTAAGTGCGAAAATGCATCAGTGTGATAGCAGGAGGCGGTCCCTTCTCGCCGCTCCTCTAGAGCTCTGTTTTTAATAAGGAGAATGCGCTCTTTAATTGTTGAGTGAGACCATAACAGATGCTTCACTTCCATATTAATGGAGAACTGGAAAGCTGGTGTTAAGGGGGTGGCAGCCGACTGTAATGCCGAAAAGAGATAAACAGAGTGAACTAGCGCAAAGTGGGTGAAATTTGAGGGAAAATCACGCGGAAAAAGACTCCTTCATTAGTTTGTTTTCCTCATTCTGTTCTGCTCAGCAGATGATGTTCTCAGAGTTTGTACTGACTTTGCAAATTAGGATGCAGTGGCAAGCGTTCGCAGCCAATATAAGCCTGTCAATCACATTTGTAATGCAAGTGAGAGGGTGTTGATGTTTCTTGCCTTTCCCCTCGCTTCAACCTGTCGAGAACAGTAAATAATGCTGATAGTTTAGGGAAACGCAACATGACGAGAGTTATCCCAGCGTGCCACGGCGCACGCCACCGAGGGGCCAGGGAAATGGCTCTGATTATGTTTTGCATATTAACTGACAGCATGGAAGATGTCTAAATTGGCTGTCATTTAAGCTTATGAAATGGATATGGTTTTCCCAAATGAAATAAACATCATCGGCGTTATAGCAACAATTTTTTTTTTCTCCTCCTTTTCTATGTTGATAGACAAACTCAATTTTAGTGTCAATGCTTAATGTTCATCATGTTTGGTTATGAGGTTCCTGTCACCAACACCTGCAGGCAAGGAAAGCATTTTTTATCCATTTCTCTGTTTATTTTAGTTGTTACGAGTCAAGGAATTTAAAAGCAACATAAATGAAACAGACATATCACTCGGCAAACATTCGTCTTGATGAATTTCAGTTTGTTTGGCCATCAGAAAACGAGTGCAGTTGTTTCACCGACACGCATTTAGATGTGATGTGAAGTTCTTTATTAAACAGGAAGCTGTGGAAGTGTTTTCATCTCCGCTCCCATTGGATCCTGACTGCACAGAAATGGTTCTCAGTGGCAGTGCTTATTGACAGCTCTTCAGTCTGCTTGATTTAAAGCGATGATGACGTCACCAAACTGGTTTCTGGTTTTGATGGTGACCGTGGCAACAGTCACCGGAGAGGTGGTCCTTGCAACTGCACTGACATTTGCAGCCTTTTTTTCTGACCTTTCTGTGCTGCCGGGATTAATCCAGTCCTTCCCGTCGAGCGAGTGGATGGATGTGAGTGTTGTGCACAGAGCCCATAACAGGATGAAGAGCACCGCCGTCTTGGCGTTTGAGATATTTTGATATAAACGGTCACCCTGAACTGTCCATTTGCTATTTTTTTTTTCCACTTTCATTTTTGGTCTTGCTCTTTATCTTGATTTCTTGCACACACTCTCTCTCTTTCTTACCTTTTCCCACCTGCAGTTCACCTCAGTGTACTGCAGAGGGCAATCTGTGACTGCGCTTGACCGTGAGCTCTTCATGCCAGGGTTCGGAGAGCTATGTGTTTTGGATTGTTGTATAAACTATGCTATATCTGATGAGGAAATAACAAGCTGTGGCAGCTAGCGGACCTGCGTCCTTGCCCTAAGACTCTGGGGGCCGTTGAAGTCTGCGTGTCTATCGCAGGAGTACAGGATAAGTGAGCCGGCGGATCAGGAAGTAAAAAAGCACAATAAATGATTTCTGGCTTGTACTAATGGGATTTATTATTAACTGCTTGTCAGCACAGATGCACATTGATCCTGTTCTTCACGGCTGTGGGGGGCGGAGAGGGTGGCAGGGTGTTTTTGCTGGAAAAAAAAAAAGCAAAACATGCTTGTGCTCTGAATGGCTGGTATCTAACATGATCTGGAATGGGGCCTGAGTTACGGATGTGAAGCGCAGGTGGAAGAGCATTGATTTATACCAGCAGGTTTGCAAGGGTTTTATAGGATTGGCTAAATGTCATTACTCTGCTGGTGGCAAGGTGATGAACTGTAATAAACTTTGATGTGGGTGGGTGGGTGTCAGGTTGCCAGTCACTCGTAAACCTTAGAAGCGTGACTGATTTTGAGAGATTGTTTAAAAAGTGTTCCCTAGATGGCACTTTGTTTGAAATGTGTGCTTTTTATTCTGCTAGCACGGAGTCATCTGTAGTGTCTGTACTACTATTTAAAAGTTTTAGTTCAGTAACATTTTTAAAGTAGAAATTAATGCATTTTTAGTCTGTCAGAACACATTAAATGGATCAAAAGTGACAGTAGATAAATTTATAATGTCACAAAAGATTTCACGAAAGTGATGTTCTTCTTAACTCTCTGTTTATTATAAAATTCTGCAAAAAAATGTTTCAGTTTTCACAAAGACATTGTTATTACCAGATATCAGTGTGCAATTTTAGACACAAGTGGTCAGGTAAGACGTGTTCTGAGGCCACTTTTGTTTGGATTACTTCCACTTTTATTTTGTTATGCATAAAATAAATTATTTGCGTTAGTGTTGACATGGATGAGTGTCCAAACTCGATCCTGGATGGCTGGTGTTCTGCATATTTTAGTTCCAGACTCAATTAAATACACTTGAACCAGCTAATCAAGCTCTTTCTAGGTATACTAGAAACTTTAGGGGAGGTGTGTTGGAGGAAGTTGGAGCTAAAGTGTTCCAGGACGGAATTCAGACACCACTGCCTTAAAGAGTCACGAAACACCAAAAATTTTTTTGAGATGTTGACAGTCATATATATGTCCCACGTTCCTAAAAACACTATTAGGACACATATATATATTCACAAAAAAGTGAAACTTGGTTATGTTTTTGTGTTGTATGTTAATTTGTTCTTCTGGTTTTAAAATAAATTTTGAAGCAACGTTACGGCGATGAAATGTAAATGATAAGATGTATTGACAGATTGGCTGTCTCTACCAGCCGGTACAAAATGACATCGAGTTTTCCGCAAATCTGTTCATTAATTCATGAGAAAGACTTGGTTCGAACCAATCAGCGTGCTATATTGTGAACAAGATGCAACTTCTTTGATATGTATTATATTGCTTCGTAGACTCTTTTTACCTGTTCAAATGTTCAGAGATGCCTTGTTTTGTTGCCAATCGTAATTCAAAGAAGAAGAAGAATTGTTTGAAGACGTGGATGGCGTGGTGATGCAATGACGTTAATCGATCTGCTATAATGTGTAAAACGGGAACATAAATGAAACATTTACATCGGTCAACTATTGTAAACACCTTAATCATAATATTATTTTATATAGATTAAGGTAAATAATTCAATTACTGATGTCCAAGTAAATGTAGTCACTGTCTATCTCCTCTGCATCTGTGTTTGTGTTGTCTCAGTGAAAATCAGCGTGTGCACGTAATGAAACTCCCCTTTTCATGCAAACCCTTCCCTCTTTCACCACTGCACACTCCCACCTAAATAAAGCTGGACTTACCCACTTTCCTGACGTTTTTTAAACTAGATGTGTGAAAACACCCTACTGAGAGAGGGCAGTTTTGTGGCCCTTTAATGAATGTTCCACAGCTTATGTGTGAGTGGGAAATCAATCAAAAGAAACACACGTGGATAGCATCTACTATTTTGATCAAAGTCCAACTCAGCAAAGTATGAATATCTTATTATGGTGTTCTTACTCACAATGTGTTACATATCGATCACATTTATGGAAGAGTAAGTGGTCTTTAATGGATGTTCCAATTCATTAGCATTTCCATGAAAGCAATTGGATCCAAAATGTTATCATCTACCTCTGAAAGGTATAAAAAAAACAAGTTAAACTTGTCTATTTGTTGACAAACTTTTTCTTTATACCACAATTAAACAGGGCTAAAAATAGAAATACAGCAAAACTGTTTTCGACATTGATTAGAATGAGAAATGACTCATTAGCGGCGCTAAATGAATCATGTCAAAATTAAAAGACTGATGATGAAAGGAATGAATTTTGTTTGAATATATTGCCAGGTAAGTAACATTTTACCATCATATTACTATTTCTAGTCATAAATGCATCCTTGGAGACTGCTTTCAAAACAAAAACTCAAACAAAAACTTTTAAATGGCTTCTTAAGTATGTTGGCTCTAAAGTTTTCAGTCCAAGCACACAAGACTCCTCCTCTAGTCTAGTCGCTTCAAAGTCTCCAAACACAGAGCTTGTCCTAATCCGCCACCTTTCTTCTCATCCCACACCGAGCTGATTAATTCATTCTTTCTTTTCTAATCTCACATCAGCTAATGTGTTGCAGTCTCCATCAGCATAGGGGTGTGTTGTTGTGCGCATTGAAGGTCAAGTCCCTGCCTCTAATTAATTGCTTTTTGGTAATATTCACAAGTCAGGGATACAGATAAGCCGGCGTTTAATATTCAAGGAGTCTGTTTATTTTCTACCGAATTAGTTTTGTTATTTTCTTTTTGATACTTCACCTTCATGTTTTTGGCAGAATGCTCACATCGCATATTCAACTGGGTGTCTTTCTGGAAGGCTCTGTGGGGTTGTTGTCAATTATTTCATTGTTTTGGAGGCGTCGTCTTCATTAGGGAACCACGGTGCGTCTGCCGGACGAGGTGGGAGCTGATACTTCATTGGCACTGGAGTGCTTGGCCATCGGGGGAAATCTACGGCAATACTCACCTAGATGAGCGGAAATTGGTGCAAATCTTCACTAGAAGATTAATGGCATCAAGGAGGAGCTCAAGCAGAGAGTTTGCAAGTTCTTGAGGACTTTTTAATTCTTTCACTCTGTTTTCTTAATTCTCGCCAGTTTAATTACCTCATTTCTTTCTCTCCTGACAACATGCACATGTTTTCTTCTCATTTATCTTTTGCAGCCTCTCTTTTAATTGATATATTTAGTATTACTTCATTATTTGAGTGCCGTTTTTACACAGAGGAGCTATTTATACCTTGTACTTAACTTGTTGTTCTTTAAATCCGGCTGTATTTGCTATTCGATAGACTCTTTTGGCTGGGACACTAACCAGCTTGACTTCTCCAAAACATTTTATGGACTTTATACAGGCCAATTTACTGTGCTGCTCGGCCCATTGTTGTAAGAGAGTGTGATGCTTGTCTTACCCTGAATGAGATAATGTTAGCTCTCCTGTGAATGGGCTGAATTCCTCCACTGCTCTTTGTGTTCAGGTGATTAAATTCCAGGGAATTTGGGGGGCATCATTGTCGTCACTGGTGCATAGCAAGCAGACAAACCTTTTTGCATGTTAATCTCAGAGCTCCGCTTTTGTGTACAAAGGCACAATCTGAATTGGCATAAATACAAAAAAGACACAGAGATCGTTTTACCAGCACTTAAGGGAGAGGTATGAACGCTGTAACTGAATTTAACACAAAGCCTGGTAATTTGCTAGAGTTATCAGATTTCATATTCAAGATCGCATGAGTGTTTGGATAAAGATGTGAAGATGACTTCATTGCAGTGTGGATTGGTTTTCGGTTTGGGAGATAAAACATTGTCTGACATAGATACGATCCATAAAAGCATTGCTTTTACTGGAGTATATACTGCATTTTTGAGGGAATAATTTGTTTTTAATTAATAAATATATTATTTATTTTTTTATAAAAAGGTTAACATTAATAATAATACAAGTTAAATGTTTAATTTTTACAGAAAACTTACTGTATCACTTCATTTTAATCACTACAACTACTGCTAAAACACTGCAAGAGTGCTTTACTTGCTTAAATTTTCAGTTTTAAGAAATATGACAAAACTAAGTGAATTTTATCTTTAAACAAGCAAAATAATCTAGTTTTTCCTTTTGAAATAAGATTATATTGCTTACTCCAAGCATTTTGTACAGTTTACTGTACTACTACTCCAGGTTTCCTGCGGGCTCTTAAAAAGTCTTAATGTCTTATATTCATTCATACATTTTCTTTTCGGCTTAGTCCCTTTAATAATCAGGGGTAGCCACAGACGAATGAACCGCCAATTTATGCAGCATTTGTTTTACGCAGCGGATGGCCTTCCTGCTGCAACCCATCACTGGGAAACATCCATACACACTCATTCACATACACACACACTGCATGTATTTGGACTTGCGAGGGAAACGGGAGCACCGAGAGGAAACCCACATGAACATGGGGAGAACATGCAAACTCCACACAGAAACGCCAACTGGCCCAGCCGAGGCTCGAACCAGCAACCTTCTTGCTGTGAGGCGATCATGCTTCCCACTGCGCTACCGTGACCCCCCATGTCTTAAATTTCAAAAACAATATTTTAGGCCTTAAAAAGTCTTAAATTCACTAAAATATTGTTGTAGATTTTAAATAATTTTAAACAGGTCTTAATTTTCCTCTGTCCAAGTAAAGCTACCCAATCAGGCCGACATCCATCAACAATCTATCTCAATAAAACCTTTTTAATGTAAATTTATTTATTTATTTTTTTCAAAGAGATCCAATTTACAAGCTGTTTGACTTTTTTACAGCAATTTCTTATAATTAAATTCCCTAATCAGGGAAAGAAGACTAAAAATAATTGAAAAAATAAAAATAATATCTTCATTATAATAGCAGAGCAACATATCACTTTACATGATACATTATACTCAATCAATTCGGACCAAAAGTCAACAATGTATATTTTTGATTATTTATGTCATTGTCTAAATAATAAATAAACGCTTAACACTGTTAAACTTGTCATTAAGAAAAGTGTATAAAACTAGATTTTTCTTGTTTTAACACATTAAAATGTCACAAAAAAATAATTACATTATTTTTTAAATTTTTTTATTTTTTTGTTGCAACCAACCGGGCCATTACAAAAAAAATCATCAGTCTTTAGCTAGTCTAAAACTGAATTCGGCAACATTTTATTTTGATGGTCCATTTGAATATTAGTAGACTGTCTGCCTTATATCTGTTGATACTGCTCCTTCAACAGACATTCAACTGACTATAAGAAACTTAGTACATGTCAATTTACACTAATCTCAACCCCAACCCTAACCTAACAGTCTACTTATAATCTAATGAGAATTAGTTGGCATGATTCAATGTAACAAACGGACCATCAAAAGAAAGTGTGATGTTGAATTCATAATGGTCTTAGGGGTCTTAAAAAGTCTTAAATTTTACCTAATTAAACTTGCAGAACCACCTACTAATACTACGACTCCTATTACAACTTTTTATTATTATTATTATTATTATTATTATTATGAAATCCACTTCGAGACAAAAGGACAAACACAAACAAGAAATCTTTCTAAAAACGGGGTTGTTTTTTTTTTTTAGTTTTGATGAAGTATAAAGAAAATCTGAAGCAACAGGCTGCTTCCCCTCAAACATGTCAGTGTCAATACAGATTAAATAATCCAGGTGACGTTAATAAGTAGAGTAAGACATGAAAGCGTGTCATGCCACCTCTGATACCTCCTCCGCCTTCACATTCCTTGTGAAAAAGGTTTTAGCATCTGCGGCGGTAGACAAGTCCTCGTCAATGTCTTCAGTAAACGCTGCCTCCCGCACGGCCTGTCACAGCAGAGGTTACTGCCGTCATCCCTGCCGTTCACTAGTGACGCTTCGCCTGTAAACACTGCTCTCTGCTCTCCTGCTGCTGGCTGGGGGTGGTACGTGTGTGTGTGTGTTTAATGTGTTTGTGAGGATGTGTTTATGCTTATTAGAGAGTTTGGAGCAGAGACGGTGAGCACAACAAACTAGAGGAGGTGGCATTTTTCCAGACTGTACCACAGAGCTGATGAGATATTGGAACAGGGGGGAACTAGCATTAAAGTCAACCAGAAATAAAAAATTATTTTGGGGTGTTAGTGTAAATATGTTGTCTTAAGGTTATCTGTGAGCACACTCCAATATTGGGAGAAAGTTTTTTTTTATTATTATTATTTAGCATCTCTAACTTTCATTTTCTGAATTCTGCCAATATGTATCAAGTTTTTTTAGGATGTCACTTCCTCATACTTTAGCTTCTCATCAGATCTTCAGACCAATCAAATAGGGCTGGGTGATTAATTAAAAAGTAATCAAAATCGACATTTATAACCTATAATGGATCAAATCTTTCTAGGTTGTTTTTATTAAATTTTTTTCCCAGCGCATATGGAGTCTCGTGATCCTGCTCTTTTAGCCACATTGCAGCCACATCTGATCTCTGGTCAAATAGGACGATGTACCCATTCTTGAGCCTTACTTTTTGTATTACATTGACAATGATTAAAGCTGTGCCAGAGATGCCTTGAGAAAGCATATTTTCCATTACCTTAAAATTATTATTTATATTAAAAGATATGTTTACAGAAGATGCAAGAAATACACTGTTTAAAGTATTATTTACAGGATATGCAAGAGTTACAAGTAAATTAATTTATTTTTAGATTTTTAGAAGAGATGCTGCTTATTTTCTACTTTTAATAAAAAAAAAATAATTTAATAAAAAATAATAAATAAATAAAAAATAAAAAAATCTTTATTTTGGTTCCAAAAGTGCAAGTTATCAAAGATAAAAGTGACTGTCGGTCTTTTAGGTTTTAAGCAATGCATGTTTTAATTTCATTTCCACAACGTTGATGTTCAATAAATAATCAAAGATAGTAGATAGTGTTTGCACTAAGTAATCCAAGTAATGCACCCTTCATTTAGAAATCACTCACTTGTAATTTGTGAGCATATTTACTGTACTCAACCTGTCAATGAACTACATGGGCAAAAAAAAAAAAATATATATATATATATATATATATATATATATAATAGTCCTATAATCGTTACGAGTTAAAATGTTCAATTAATTGAGATTTAGATTTTAGGCTAAATTGCCCAGCCCTACAATCAAATGCTCTCTAGTATCTGAAGTGCCTCAGCCCCTTTAAGATGCTATACTGCAGCTGAAATTAGTTATTTATTCACATGTAACTGTGTGTTCATATAGAGCGCACTCAAAAAAATTGTGTTTTTACTTGTTTAAACTACTTATTTAAAATGTGCTGAAACAACACAACTCTTGAGATTTCATTGGGACAACTTAATTTTTTTGTTCACATAAATTTGTTAAAAGTGTTAACTTAATTTGTGTTGGGACAACATTAAGGATTTAACTTAACTCATTTGTTTTTACAAATTTAGGTGGAAAAAACCTTAATAATTGTGTTGTTTAGGCTCAACTTAAATGCCTAGTTTAAGCAAACAGAAAAAAAATTGCTTTGTGTAAGAAAATAATAACTGGTAAAAGAAGCAGGTTTATTCTGAACTCCTCCATGTTTATTAGTCATAACAATGAGTGGAGGGAACCCTTAGGCGGGATGCTGCAACATGCTTTGTGCATGTACTGTACACTCACTGGTTTACGGCAAGCCCCGAGGGGGACATTGCACACACACACATGCACAATCATTATACAGTCAACTAGGACATTCAAAATTAATTCTGTTACACAGTTGCAGTTCTCTATAATAAATGACACAAAGTGCACTATATACATAAAGGATAAACAATTTAGACAATGTAAATATAAATTCTGGTTTTGTGTTAATGCCACGTGAACCATTAGAGAGTGGGCTTGAGATATACACTCTCTTTTCCATACTTTTTCATACTTACTCTCCATACTTCCAGACTTTCTTATCAACAGTCGATGTTACTGGAAAACCCTTATACAATTTTTATTGTGCTTCACATGGATGGGCTTTACAAACCACTTGTGCAAGACACTCTTAGACTTGTCATAGCATTAATATATTGCTGCTCTCTGATGATTTAAAGTATGTATTTTATTCTCGATTGTAGGTCACCTTGGATATATGTGTCTGCTACATACATACATGTAAGCAAATCTATTGGCTATTTTCAAAAAAAGAGGTGGAGCTACTCCATGTGTCCGACCCTATCTTCATGTTTCATTTGAAATGTCACATATTGAAAAAAGCTGAGGATTTTAAGGCACATCAGGATCTCCTTTAATATTTGTGGTTGTATATCAAAGTGATATAATTTCCTCCCATAATTCCCATCCATAATGGGGCTAAAAGGCAAGTTGCGTACACTATAAATCGCTTTTTCTTCACCATCCTTTTCTCTACTTGGGTGTTGGCCTGGAGCTATAAAGCTCTTTAGCTCAAGGGGCTTTATGGTTGGCATTAGGTAGCTCCTGCTTTTCACTCTTGTCGGTCTGGTGTACATGAGCACAGCCTGTACAGTAAAGCCATAAAATGCCCGGCCCTGTCAGGAGGAAAATTTAGAGACTTAATTTTCAAGTAAACCTTTAAAGACAATGCAAAATAATTTTATTCATGGTCAGTGTCATAATTTCTGTGTCGTTATTACAATGTGATTTTTCATTAAAATATAGCAACTTGGCTTGCTTCCTTTTTGGTGGATGCATCCTAGATGATTCATTTCAAGATGATTCATTTCATTACAGGCACAAAATGAATGCC